GCCTTACCACTGTCTTCTCATGTTTGCGGTTACTTATATAGCACTGAGGCAGTGATAGAGCCCTCTGTGCTAGGAAATAGAGCCATAAAGATGACGGCTACTCCTGTGACCCTCCCACGCTATTCAGTGGAGGTATTTAAAATCCCAGAAACTCTCCAATGTACTAATTGACTTTATTTAAATTTTTTGCATAGAATTTAGAACAAAAGCTGTCTAATAGAGTAATTTTCAAAATACTAAAATGCTGGTCTGAGAACTCTGTCATTGTAAGTAAATAAAACTGTCTCTAACATCTTTACTCAGTAGGTTTTCCTGCTAAAAAATGTAGATGTCCTCCATAAACCATAATTGAATATGTGTAGCATAAATACTGTTTTTTGTTTTATTGGATTTATTGTAGAAATGAAGCCTCTTTTTGTTTAAATGGACTTGCTTTTGGACTGTGAAAATTTCATCGTAGTAGTTTATTGGTTCAGCTGTGGAGAAGCTGAGGCAAAGCTATTTTGTGCCAGCCAGAGCTATTTATATACCATCACTGAGAGCTCCTTTTTATGTTATTGGTGTTATATGTACTAAAAAAAGGAGTGTTAAAGGAAAACTTGGGGTTTCTTTTTCTTCAATGCCCTTACCACAGGGATATTTTTAGAAGTTATTTCTTCCAGCTCTGTCTCCTCAGAAAAGGCTTTATCTTTGTCATTGTGGAGGCAGACAGGAGCTCAGCTTGAAGCCTTTCCTTTTTCTTAAGCTTTCCCTTTTGAAGGGTGAAAGGATCAGAGACTGGAACTTTGTGTGTGAATTGAATGTCTTTGCCCTTAGCACCTTCCTGATCAGCACGTCTGCATCCTGGAGGGAGGAATGACCAGGAGTTTAAGGGAAGAGGCCTTTAAGGAAAGAGGTTAAAATACAAGAGACTGTCTCTTTGAGCTTCTCAATGCAAAAGGAAAGATTGGCCTTAGGAATTTGTCCTCCTTGCTTCCAGAGAAGCCCACTATTCTGCCTCGCTCCTTTGTGTGGGTAGCAAGCGATCATTGATTGTTGTAAATACCTGCTGAATTGGACAAGTTCAGAAGAGGAATGGATTTGTGAACTGAAGCTTAGAGGACCCACTAAGTTCTAGAATCCTATACTCATAGCTTCAGTATCCTATGACAAAGCTAAGTTTGGTAACAGTAGTACATTTGTGCCCTAAAAGTGGAACTCTTGAATCCCTTGAAAATGTCATTTTTCGGTCCTGGATGTGGTACTTTAACAGCTTGAAGGCTCATTGTTTCTGAGGCTGAGTGCATGGGTCCTTGGTGCCAGCCACAGTTGGGACCACCTTATATAATACCATTTTCCTCAGATGTGGGCATCTGTGTATGTGAATGTGCACCCATGCCGTTGTCCACCCATCCATCCATGATTTCATTACCCACCTTCTGAGATATACTGTCATCAGATATGGAGTACTGTTTTCATCTTATCCTATCACATGGAAGAGTATGTTTCAAAAGACATGCACAAGACCGTTTCTTTGAAGTTCAATGAACTGTGCAAGTCTGGATTCCCGCAAGGGATAGTCTAGGTAAAATCAGTCTGCAAAAGACCATAGAAATTACAATGCTTAATATAATTCAGTGTCTTTTTTATTAGCATCTTTAACTATGGTATAAAGTTTTGTATTCTAGAAATATAGCTGACATTAGAATTCAGGTATACAGTTCAGTTTATCTGTCATGAAAGTCTTTTAAAATTAGGTTAAATACAGCACAAAAGACATAGAAAATCAATATTATTTCATTTCTTTTAAGTAAAATCTTTCTATATACATTTTCTTGGGTTGCTTATAAATTTCTTCCTTTGCAGAAGTATTTCATAATAAATGTCAGTTATAGATTTAACTGTAGCAAAAAATAGTACAAGTTCTGTAGTACCTCTAATATATCAGGTAAAAAACTGCTTAGCTAAGTATTAGCATAGAATAGTTGTACAATCTCCTGAAAGAAATTAAGTGTAGTGATATTAATAGAACATTTAGGCACCTTAATGCATGGACTACTGTACAGCTCAATATATTATACTTTGAGATATTGGTTTACCAGTCATAACCTTTATGCAGAGTAAAGATATGATAAATATTTGCTGTTAAATGTGAACTTTATTAAAAGTAATTTTTAAACATCTAATTGAATTATACTAATGATATGTGAATTTAGTGACCTTATGATTATCTTTATAGTCTAAAGATTTCTATCCTAATATATACAGTTAAAACTGAATTCTAGCTAGGGGTGGAGATATATACCTATAATCCCAGCATTCAGGAGGGTGAGGCAGGAAGGTCACAAGTTCCAGGCTAGCCTAGGTTACATAATGGGACTAGGTCTCAGAAAACAAGACTGACCCTCTGAATTCTGGTGGCATTAGCCAGTGATTGATAGGACTGATTAAAACTAATTTATTAAAGTATAAGAAATAGAACTTCTGCAAATTCAGTTCTAATAACTATGTGTGCATGATTACATCTAAAGGCACCCTCTAGGGTGTTACTAAGGAAACATTCCTCTTTTTTTCAGAAATAACTAACTCAAGTACAAATTAAGTACTCATTAGGTTCCACTCAGCCTACAGATGTGACAGCCACACTAGATGGAAGATTATTTTAAATTGGGCTTCAGCACTGACGTGTTTGAACTGGAGAAAACTCTGTTTCATAATAAATGAAAGGTGGAGGTCGTCTTTTTGTCAGGGTCATGGGGTCTACCAGATTTATTTCTGCTAATGAGAGGTTGGTGAACTTGAGAGTAAGGGAGAGTTAACTTAACTGATCAAGTTAAGATTTTAGTAAATGGTATAGATGATGAAAAACTAGCATCTGGTATCTAAGTGGAAATATGGGGCTGCTTTAAAAAGTACAGAGAATTTAAATTAGCAACTCATGTACTTTGTATGCATGAAAATAGACATATGAAGTCCATGGATTCTACCGTTATAAATGCAGATGCAGTAGATTAAGATTTGTTCTAATTGCCGTAATTGTTTGCATTTTTACTTCCATTTGAGTCCTATGTTCTGCTTTTTGAAGGAGTATTAGAATATTGGTTTGAGGGTGATCCAGAAAAACCTTTCTATGTCCAAGAAAAAGATGGCCTTTCACAATGCTTTTCCCGTTTCTGAAAATGACAACAGTTGCCTTAGTGTCTCTCTGCACTGTTTTAATGACAAGAGGAAGTTCTATCACATCCAGCAGCATTTAAAAATAACAAAACGTTAAAAAAATTTAAATTGTAAATGGCTCTATCTTAATATTTAATTAACTTCATTATACTGCCATGTACACAAATACAACATTTTAAAAAAATATTTATTATTTTTATTTTATGTGTATAAGTGTATTGTCTGCATGTATGTGAGTGCACCCATGTGTGCAATGCTAAGGAGGTCAGAAGAGGGCTTCGGATTCCCCTAGAACTGGAGTTAAGGGGTTAGCTGCCATATGGGTGCTGGGAATCGAGCCCAGGTCCTCTGCAAGAGCAGTCAGTGCTCTTAACCGCTGAGCCAGCTCTCCAGTCCACAAATACAACATTTTAAAAAAATATTTATTATTTTTATTTTATGTGTATAAGTGTATTGTCTGCATGTATGTGAGTGCACCCATGTGTGCAATGCTAAGGAGGTCAGAAGAGGGCTTCGGATTCCCCTAGAACTGGAGTTAAGGGGTTAGCTGCCATATGGGTGCTGGGAATCGAGCCCAGGTCCTCTGCAAGAGCAGTCAGTGCTCTTAACCGCTGAGCCATCTCTCCAGTCCACAAATACAACATTTTATACTTAGGAAACCTTTTTCATATTTTCCGCTGTTGACAAAGTAGACAAGTTGTAGTTGCTGTAGTCTTTGAACTGATTTAAGGAAATCCTTAACTTTTGCTTTGTGCACCTTAAAGGGAATACATTCTGGGCTGGGAATATAGCTGAAAGGTACACAAGGGCCCTGGTTTGATCTAGAATATCTCACACAGACACAGACATCTACACAGACACAGACACACACACACACACACACACACACAGAGCAAAAAAAAAAGTACAGTTTGAAACTACCATTTCCTATGTAACTTGCATGCAAAAGTCTGACACATTTTTCTTGATACAGGGAAAGCAGTGGTAAGGAAGACGGAGCTCCTTCAAGGCATTTTCCCCTTCTAGTAGGTAATGATAGGCAATATTCATTTAAGCAAATACACAAGGTAACTGCACATTGGGTCAATACAGTGAAGAAACCAAGCTAGGTAATGAGCTGGAAGGTGATTGGGAATTCGGGGCAGTCCCATTCAGAGGGTTACTTTCATAGATTAGTCAAAAAAGAAGGTCTCCTTAGAATGTGACATGGGATCCACTTGGGGAATGATCTGGGAAGTGCATGGAAAGCTTGTACAAAGGTTCAGGTGCTGTAGGTTGGAAAGGAGGCTAATGTGGCTAGTATTCAGTGAGTAGGGGAGCGACAGTCTCAGGGCTGGGTCACATCACATGGGGAAGGGTATGGTCTAGTTTATTGTTTGGACGGATGATGCTGGCCTCTGTGTGTAGAACAGTACAGAGGGGCAGAAGAGTTAGGGGAAAACATCTGCCGTGCTGCTGCTATGTCAAGGGGAGAAGTAGGTGACTGCTTGGGTAGAGTGTTGGCTCTTGCGGGGTGTGTCAGTGCACACTTACAATCCCAGCTACTGGGGAGGCTGAGGCTTGAGCAACAAAACAATACCCCCCCCCCCAAAAAAAAATGTTGGAGTGGTAACTCTGGAGGTTCTGAGAAGGTGAGCCGTGATAGGTACATTTACGGCCTAAGCAGGAAGGAAACAGGCTGGTTCTTTTTCTCCCCCTCAGCCCTGTGGTTCTGGTATGTGAGGCAGCTCTGCAGCTCACTGTGTTGTTGTAAAGAGAGTACATGGATGGGATCGTTAATAGCAAACATTTCATACTGGTCAGATTTTGTATTGTTAAATTTGATTTTTTTGTTGTTATTATAGGAAATGTTTTCATATTTGTCCACTCAACTAAAGAAGTTAGCAGAGGCCTACAATGAGAGACTGTTGCAGACACCTCACAACCCCATATCGCTAGGTAATTTTTTTCCTAGAAAGGAAGTACTTCTAGCCTATCTTTAGGAGAAAGTTCTCATTTATAGAAGAAGAATGAACTTGTTTTGATTATACTGATACTGCTAAATTCACTCCAGTATTAATTGGTAAATTGAAAAATGTTTACTTTAGCCTCTAGAAATGCTTTAGTGTTACTCTAAGATAAAACCTATCTGCTGAAAGAATCAGAATCAATATTAAACGTAATAAACACACAGAAAATAATAACAGGGCTTGTTTCTGTGTAACAGTTGAAACTTTCTCAAGTTAACAAAACACCAAAATACTGTTTTTAATGTCATTGCTTGTTTTCTTCTGCCTTTGCATATTAAGAACAGCTGTATTATAATTTGATTTGTTTGTATAAAGACTGCATTTTTGTCATGTAGTTCAGGGACTAGTAAAATGAACATTGGCTTTTATATACAGAAGTAACTTAAAAGCTTCATAATTGCCTATTAGCTTATGAATATATGAAGAATATGTTTTGTATTTCTCATATAGCTGAGGAAAGTGAGTCATTTATAACTGAAGCCTTTCAGGAATGGGCTTTCCTGGAAAGCTATGGACACCAACATGTAATACAAACCTTCCTAATCTTTTGCTTGGATAGTAAGTGATGTTGGGTAGTTAGAAAATGAATTATGTCATGTTCTAGCCTCCAGCCTCCTTTTCCTTGTCTCTGAAATAGAGATAATAATCCATCACATGCAGAATTATTTTTTTTTAAAAATTGGTTGAGATTATGCTTGCAACATGTCTAACATGGTAAGCCAGCCTTAGGTACATGACAGCTGTAGCAGTGGTATACATTGGATGCAGTTCACTACATGGTCATGGAATGATGATAGCCATTTGTACATGCAGAGTTGATCTTAGTGTTATGTATGTACAGCAGTGAAATGTTTCCCATTCTCATTTTCTAAGTTCTTCAAACGTGGTTGAATTTGAGTTAACAGCTCTACTGAGCACTATGTACTTAGCTAGGAAAACTCACTTTCTAAGAGAGTGTTAAGGGAATTCTGTTCATGATTGTGGACATGTTATGAAACTACATTGTCTCATATGGAAACAAAACCCTTGCTGTAATTTATCAAGTATATTAAAGTGCTGTTGTGCCTTGTAACAATGAATAAAAAATAATTCTTCCATCATCATTTGTCTTTGGATGGTTTTGTGCTGGTAAACCAAACCGAAGCCTCTTGTTCTTTTTTTTTCTCCAGCTATGACACTTAAGACACTGGATGAACACCATGACAAAGCTGTCACTCAGCTTGGCTCGATGCTTTTTACCAGACAGGTTTCTGGAGCCAGGTGAGTATTTTGAGAGTCTGGGGCTTCTTTGGTTTTTAATGTTATCTCTAGGACTCTCCAGTGCCTGTCCTTGGACCATCGGGCGCCTCTAAAACCTTTGTGACTGAGCTTTTTTTTTTTTCTTCAAGACTTTTGTAATCTTTTAACTATTTAAACTCAACTACCTAAATTTTAAGAATTTTAATTGAAATTTTAAATAGAAGGTGCTGTTGACAGGCATACTGCTAGATGAAATCCCAGCCATCATGACAAATCCTGTGTGTTTGCTAAGAGAATGATGCTGTTGCCACAGCTTCACATCTCCCGGATTTTAGAGCTTGGCTTTTTCTGCTGATCTTCGTCTCCTGGCTTTTCCTCCTCCCTCAGTCCCGTCTCACCCTTTGCTGTCTTGGCTAGTGATTTGGTGAGATAAATCATTCTTTTTTCCAGTCTTCCCTTACGCTCCACACCACGTAAGAGTTTCAAGTTTTATTGTTGCAATAGAAGTGTTTTATGCTGGCTTTTCTTTGAAAAAAAATGAAGTTGAGCTGGAGAGATGGCTCAGTGGTTAAAAACACATAATATTCTTGCAGAAGACTAGAGTTTGGTTCCCAATACCCACATCAGGTAGCTCACAACCTCCTATAACTTCAGTTCCAGAGAGCTGACCCTCAGTTCTGGACTCCATGGGCAGCTGCTCTCAGATATGCATGCATATAATTAAAAATAAATCTTAAAAAAAGTTAACTCTTAATCAAGTGCCTTTCCTTACTAGTAGTCCTTCATGTATATGTTGAGCAGTACCTGAGAGTTCACTGTCAAGTCAATGATGAGCTAAAGGGTCTGTAAGGTGATTAACTGTGGACTTTCTGTTCTGTGATTGAAATAGTCACTAAAATATAGGAATCAAGTTTCTTTTAGTACTTCTCTGGATAGATTTTTTTTCTTCAGTTCTAGGGATTGAACTTAGAGCCTCATGAATGTTAGGTAAACACTGTACCACTTAGATACCTTCTTTTTATTTTGAGACTGGGTCTCACTAAGTTGTCCAGGCTGGCCTTGAATTTAATCTGTGGCCCAGTCAGGCCTACAATGTGCAGGCCTCTTGTCTTAGAGGCCCACATAGTTGGGATTAAAGGCCTGTACCATGAAGTCAGTCCAACTTCTGGATTTTTGGCTTTCTTTCTTAGATGATTTTCAGTGATGTCACATGGTGATAATAGAAATAATTCGTCTTCATTACCAAATTCAAGTGAAAATGTTGCTAAGGAAGTCCTATTGCCAAAACTAAAAGGATCTTGTGTTGTTGCCTCAGTGTTGCCTTAGACACATTACTTTCCTCTCACACATACATGGCATCAGATCAGTCTCATTTTAAAACGTTAGAGAAAAAATGACATAATTATCTTGCTCTAAATGCTTTTCTTCACATACATCTATGAAAGAATTTCACCCTGACCAGGCAGAGGATAGAAATTTTATGTCAAAGGACAACTTAGCTTTTGTTTTGCTTTTTAGAAAAATTTATTTTTATTTTTAATGGTGTGTATGTGTGTGTGTGTTTCTGTGCCTGTGTCTGTGTGTGGGTATGTGCACAGTAGTGCAGGTGCCCACAGGGGCCAGAGGTGTCAAATTTCCCTGGAGCTGGAGTTATAGGCAGTCATGAGCTGTCTAACATGGGTGCTGGGAATCAAACTCCTGCAAAAGCATTATGTGCTTTTAACCACCAAGCCATACTAGTTTTGTTTTTTTAGTCAGTGTCATACTGTGTAGCTGTGGCTGACCTTGGGATCCTCTTGTTTCTGTCTCCCCAGTGCTGGGATAACAGATGAATGCCACCACACCTGGCTAAAGGACAGATTTTTTTTTTTCTTTTTGAGATAGGGTCTCCCTGTAGCCCCAGCTGGCCTGGAACTCACTTTGTAGACCAGGCTGGCCTTGAACTCACAGAGATCTACCTTTGCCTCCTGAATGCTGGGATTAAAGGCATGTACCACCATTCCTAGCCTTAAAGGACAGCTTTTTTAAAGGAAAAAATCTTAGATTAATTCAGCTTTTACCCTGATAAACTATTAGTGTGCAGTATAGTTTTGACACATTAAAATTATTTTTAGAGTACCACTATTTGTCTTTATGTGTGTTGATCTCAATTAGCTTCTTAAAAAGTAAGGGATTCAAAGTCTGTGTGTCTAAGTAGGGCATAGAAGTAAGGCTTAAATAACCATATACCATTGATGGCTCTTGCTGTCTGCTGACCACCACCCCCTGAAGCAGTGACACAGCTTCCAGCCAGATGGTTGGGATTATTTATTTATTTATTTATTTTATTTATTTTTTTATGTGTATAAATGTATTACCTGCGTGTATGTATCAAGCAATGCCTGTGGAGGTCAGGAGAGAACGTCAGATCTCTGGAACTGGAGTTATGGATGGTTTATTAGCTACCATGTGGTTACTGGGAATCAAATCCAGGTCCTCTGCAAGAGCAACCAATGCTCTTAACTGCTGAACCATCTCTCCAGCCCCCATGATTGGGATTTTTATTTGAATTTTCAGGTGACACAGCAGTTAACCAAAGCCATTTGACTTACATTTTTGAAGTCAGATTCTAGATTTGGCACAAAACCAAATAATTTTCTTGTTACTTCTTTGAAGAAGATATAAGGCTATTTGGAATTCCTTGAGCTTGATGCTCGCTCATAGAGGCTAAGTAGATGGTCATTGCTAGAAAGGGCTTTCCAATATAAATAGCACATTATAATTTCATTTTAAGCTGACATGGTTTGTTTGCATAGGCCGTGATTTATGTGTTCCTGTCAGCTTCTTAATCAGTGGCTCTATGGCTCACTAAGGCAGGTATCCTGTTTCTAGGTGGCATTCTGTTAGCATCACTAGAAGCATTGGGTTAATGAATCTTCTCCCTTTCAGGGCTGTGCCTCTTGGGTCTGTGCAAACCATGAGTGGCCACACTTTCCAAGGCTTCATGTCCCACGTGGATAATTACCCCTGTGCCTACCTCAATGCTGCAGCAGCCATCGGGATGAAGTCACAGGATGTGGACCTGTTCATAAAGAGACTTGGCAAGTGCCTAAATGCATTAAGAAAAGGACAAAGTAAAGTGAGTGGCGTGTCTGGCATTGATAGTTGTGACAAAGCTGAAGACATTGACGAAATGGCTTTAAAACTAGATAGTGTACTTTGTGACATGGACCAGCATACTTCTTCATGACATGGACTTCTTTTTGCTACTGTAAAAGCAGCTTAAAGGCCAGACTTGAGATTTTTGAATTGAGAATTTTATAGAGAATATTCAGTGAAGGAAGTGACTGTGATCTGCAGTAGTTGTTGGTGATTGCTGGTTTTTATTCTTACAATGCCCCAATCCTTGCAATTGTTAACAGGTTATATAACGTGTAGTTAGCAATTTCTAATTATTAGAATATTTATCAGTTAAACAACATGATTCAGGTCATTCTTGCTAATATAAACCATGAAATTACAGCTGATTCTCTTTGAAATGTAGAGTGCTTCTTCCCAGCCATTCTCAACATTCGCAGATTTTTTGTTTCTGATCACACAGACTTGAGAAAGATCTCTTTGTAATGCTGCTAAGTCCTGGATATTTGTTTAGTTGTCTCTGTGCCAGTAGATGGGACATTCCCAAGGACAGAGCCAAGGTATTAATTTAGACTTAGGGGCAGTTTATTCTCAACTGGGACTGATTTGATTCCACATGAGCAACACAGAAGGACACTTTCGGCAACCCAACGTTAGTTGCTGTTGACACCGAGTGCCAGAGGCCCTTGGTGCAGCTCAGCATTTTACCATGCCAAGAAATTTCCATACAAGAGTTACGCAGGTCAAAATAGCAGTGGTGCTGAGTTCCAGTAAGTGAACTCCTCAGTAAAGAGAAGTTTTTCAGATCACTTTATTCAGTAGTTCAGCCATGTGCTGTATAATGGCATTGCTACCCACAGTAGGCTGCATGGAAGGTGGTGGTCCCGTCACATCCTATCACCTGGCAATGTCCTGGCCATCTTGGTTTGTATAAGTACATGTCATACTGTTCACACAACTTTGAGATCTGCTATCTACCTTTTTTAAGACCATGTTTCTGTTAAATGACTTGTGATCGTACGTCACGAAAAGCTCAATGTGTGATACTGCATAGAGAAACATGCCATTATATATTACTTAATATAGCACCTGCTCATTTTTCCAAGTGAAACTTTATTCTACAAACTGTCTCGGCTTAGAGTAGCCTTTGTACATTGACTTGTGCCCTCAGGTGTCCTGTGCAGCCAGTGTCAGGACTGGCTATATTTGTAGTTTTGAACATGTTCTTGCTAAGGAGGTCAAAATAATACAGCATGAAAAACATGTATATTCTTTTCTCTTTCTCTCTGCCCATATACTCTCCTTTTTTTTTTGGTCTTTTTGAGACAGAGTCTCCCTGTAGCCCCAGCTGTCCTCAAACTCACTATGTAGACCAGGCTGGCCTTGAACTCACAGAGATCCGGCTGCCTCTGCCTCCCAAGTGCTAGGATTAAAGGCTTGCACCACCACGCCCGGCTCTAGCAATGATTTTTGTTTTGTTGAGAAACAAACTGGAGAGTTAGTGAATCCTCTGAACACCACTGTGCCAAAGCCGTGCTTCTCAAACCTGCTCTGTGGAGTGTCATTCAACCTACGAAGTACTCATGAAGAAGAAAGGTTCCATGAGGAATGTGGGAAGAGCCTTTGTAAATATGGTCATGATACCATAAGTGTTCCAAGAGAATTCCTTCAGGAAAGACTCATCCAAACAAGAACTCCTTCAAAGTCAAATGCCCCTTGACTTCCTCTTGAATATTCTCTCCCAACACAATGGTAGCCAATGCTGTGTTGACCTGTAGATTGTGTTTTACTGATTCTGCATTGGGAGCTATGTATGAAGAGGCTTTCCTTGTGCATGATTTTAGAGGATTTTTAGCTGCCTTTAGTGCAGATTAGACTATCATAAACACTGATGCCTATGGGTGTCCAGACTGGGTAGAGATAAGGTACTTACAAAAATCTGGGTGATTTCTAAATGTATTATACCTTTGTGGATCAGACATTGAAGCAGCTCTTAAATAGCAACAGTAACTCAAAGGAGAAAATCCTGGATTGGAAAGGCATGTGCTATTTTTTATATGGATTTGGGACTGCACAATAGACCTGGTGAAGCCAAAGAGGCCCAGTCCCCCTGGAGTCCAGGAAGGTCAGGTGATAGTATGGATGGAATTGCTAGCAGAGCAGTTTCCTGTGCATCAGGCCCAAATGGTTTTCTCGAACAAGTGATGTATATTGTGTGATCATCATTTTGCTTAAGAAAGGCCAGAGTCAAGAGACTGGAGATGCTTTCTTATCTGCCAAGTATCAGCAGTTCTTGGGCTTCAGCTGCTGAATAGATAATAATTCTAATTGGAGATAAATTACATGAACCCACATAAGAATGATAGATATGGTATAACATTTTATTTCTGATGCATAAAATCAGCTGCAGTTTCTATTATTAACCCTTTATTTTTTGAGTACTTTGAAACTCTAGCCTTAGTCTTCCTGGCTTCAAGTTTGATCCTGAGGTCACAGAATTCACAGTTTTTGAAAGGATGTAGTTTCTGTGTAAGTCAGCTTGCCTTTGCCCCCAACCCATTATCATTTTCCCTCATTCTCAGTCCACATGAACATATTAGAAGATGTATACCTAAGAGCATCTTCTATGACGTACTTAGATTGCTTGGAGGGCTTCATGATTGGCCCATGCTACCCTCAGGCAGAGACAGTGGAAGCTGCTCTAAAATGACTACTTCTGTCTTTGGGGCCCTACTACCCTAATTAATTAGTAAGGCCATGAGGTAGAATTTTAGAGGTTGTTTTTTAAAGTCACTAGGCTATAGTACTCTGCCTAGAAAACTGAATCACATAGAATGTTCTGGTCACTGATAATACCTATTCATACTGCAGGGAGAGGTGTTTTCCATCTGAGTTCTTTTTCTTCTTTCCTGAGACAGGGTCACCCAGTATCTCTAGCGGGCCTGGAATTTACTGTGTAGATCAGGCTGGCCCTGATCTCAGAGAGATCCACATGTTTCTGCCTCCTGAGTCCTGGGATTAAAGGTGTGAGCCACCATGCCCGGCTTCTAGCTGACTTTTGATTTGGCTCTTGGGCCCTCTGCTGATGTGTTCTGTCAGGGAATTGTGTGACGCCAACCTTGTCACCCAGTGCTATCTGTAATCTTCTAGTTAGCTTACGTTAATGTTAAATTAAGTTCTAGAAGACGAGTTATGTAATGCAGTTTTGTTCCACCAACAGGCATTTGATGTACAGAATGGTAAATTTAAACATGATTTAAATTAAAATTTTTTCTGTTACTTTGATCCAGCACAAATTCTTAGGTGATTACATTTCTTTAACCACACTGTGAAAAGAAATGATTAAGGCTTGAGCTACAGAATATGCCTATGCCAATGACTTGCATGGGTTTTAGTAGAATTTATGCAAATATACTTTTTAAAAAATAGTAATAGGGGCTGGAGAGATGACTCAGTGGTTAAGAGCACTGGCTGCTCTTGCAGAGGACTCGGATTCAATTCCCAGCATCCACATGGTGGCTAACAGCTATCTGAAACTCCAATTCCAGAGTATCCAACCTGCTCTTCTGACCTCTGAGGGCATTGACATGGATGTACTTACACACATGCAGGCAATACACTCATACACACAAAGTAAAAATAAAATAAAATAAACGTGCTAATATTGAATTAGTGACTTCATCCTGACAGTTAAATTTTGTGTCTTTTACTGAAGAAGGTGACAATTCAAAATGACAACAACAAAAAATGTTGATGAATCTCATTCATATTCTACTTGGGGAAAGTTTTGAAATACATCCACATACATACACATTTGGTACACAGAAAAGTTGGATTTACTTTTCCCACAGTTTATGATGCACTAATTTCTGCCAAGCCCACAAATGGTTTTATGTTTTACACTGATGAGATTGACCTTATTTTGTAGTTGAAAAAAGTCTACTTTTGTATGCACTCAAGTTGGGTCATTTCAGAAGTTTCATAATCTTTGAATCATTGGTGGTGTTGACAGAATGGATGGGGGGATGGGGAAGGAGGGGAGGCATGGCTGAGACAGGTATTTCCTTGTCCTCCTTCCTTGTCCTCTGTGTTGCTGCTTCTCTGCCAGCCTTATCCTGCAGCCCTGACTTACTGCATCCTTTTGTGCCTTACTTTTTAGTTTCACTTTGGCCATCTTGGTCTGTACAATGCAAGATAATGATTTTACAGCTAATGAATATGTCTTTGTAATTTTCCCTCTAATATTCTGCAGTTCAAGCTAAGGCCTTGGGCAAAATCAGGAAGTGTTTACAGTGTCTGGTTTTCATCTAGCGGTGCCAGCGTGTGCTTTTAGAGAACGGTGAGGAAAGGCTGTGTTTAACTGTGTACTGGGGGTTGAGCCATGAGAACACAAAGCTGACGGCTGACTGCTAACTTCTAACCCTTGTCTTACCAAAAGGGAAAACTGCTTCCAGAAATAATTTTTGGCATAGACTGTTTAAAAATGAAAGTGAATTGTATAATTTATTAAAATGAAATAAATTTTTAATAAACCACTGACAGTACATTATATTATTCTTCCAAATCATCACCAGGTGAAAACTGTACAAATGGCACAGCTAAATTACGTGTCCTTTTTGGATTCCATCACTGGTATCAGCTTGCCCAGAAGTCAGCAAGAAAAGTCTGACCTCAGTCAAGAATCATGAGTCATGGCTATTGACCTCAGAAGGCTGACACTTAACAGTATTTAATTGTTTATAAAAAGAACACTGTGGGGCCAGTGAGATGGCTCAGTAGGTTAAGGCACTTGCTACTCAGCCTTTACAACCCTTAGGACCAAAGTTTGAGCCCCTGGACCTACATGTGGAAGGAGAGAACTGACTTCCACAAGTTGTCCTCTGACCATATGCATACCATGGTACACACACAAACAAAATAAATAAAAATGTGATAGAAACTTAAAAAAATTAAAAGAAACACTGTCATTTATTTGAAAGTAGGAGAGATTCTATCAACCTCAGAGTTCACCTTTGAACTCTATGCTACTTTGATTAGGCAGGCCATTACCATTGATTTGGAGTTAGGCTACCCAGCAGTGCATCTGTGCACTCAAAGTGCAGCTTCTCCAAATCTTGGTCTCATCATATGTGGACTGGAAACCATTTTACAGCATTGAGGATCAAATGGGATGACAATAAATGTCAATAATAATAATAAATGTTTCAGGGCCTGAAATGGCACAAACTATAAGTAACCATAGCAACATTCTGCATAAAGCTGTACCATATTAAATTGTGCTAGATTTAAATTGAAATTATTCTGGGTAGAATTATTAGTGCATTTTACCCATTCTCTAGCAGAAATTAGTTTTAAAGAATACTTGATTTTAGATGACCATCTCTTTCGGAGGATTTTCCTGTTTTGGTTTTTAGTGAATTTCCTTTGGTTTTACATTTATATTTGGGAATTTTAAAACATGTTAAAGTGTATTGACTGTTTGATGAACCTGCAGTTGCAGATCATAACGTAGGCAATGAGTTCATGCCATAGTGCCTTCTGCAGGGATGTGTGGTTCTGCCAAAGGTTTTGGTGCAGTCAGCAGACTTAGCAGCATAACTGCTGTGCAGTATATACATACGACCTTATTTTTATATGACTTGGTCATGGAAGGCTGGTCATAGCTCCTAAATTTACAGCTGTAGCAGACCTTTCTGAACCCCACACAGCACACAGCTGCCTAACTACCATATCTTGAATGTGTGCTAGACCTTCCAAATACAATTCTTTGATCTTCCTGCCAAAAATGTGTTCATCCACAGCCTTCCCACCTCTGTTGGTCGCACTCCTTCCCACTGTGGGAAGAGATCTGAGAGTTAATCCTTGAAAGCCTCATTCTCTATTTAAACCCTACGGTGGTACATGATTATAATCTCAGCACTCAGGAGACTGAGATGGGAGGATTGTGAGTTCAAGACCATCCTGGGCTGCACAGTGCCAATCAATTAAAATAGTCATGTTGTACCTACCTTAAAAATTCTCCCAGAATCAAGCCATTTCCCTTTCTCTGTAACAGTCAAGTCTGAACTGCCAATATTGTTTGTGTTGTTACAGGACCTGCTTCCTGCCCACCCCCAGAAAGGTCTCCTTGCTTCTCCTTGCCTCCACTTTACAGTCTATTCTCAGTGCGACAGCCACTGTGACCCTTTAGAAAACTGCTGTGTCACTTACCTGTTCAAACTTTTGCAGTAGTTCCCTGTTCCACTCATGTCCTCCCTGTCCCCAGAG